CTTCTCGATGTAGACCCATTGTCCGCTTTCTCTTGATTCTTCTTAGATTATATATCGATCTCTTACTGCGACGACGGAAGAGAAGGAGGCGACTCAAGCTCTTTCTCTTTCATATGTATTTACTATTATTTAATTACATCTAATACATTTTTGTTAGACCATATGTCACATAAAACATTATAAAAAATGCACTCTCTGAAAACAAATATGCATTATGGCCAGTGGCAGATCTATATTGTGAAGGGTGTGGCCACATGTCCCCTCTCTAATTAACAAAATGATAAATTACAAAGAAAATTATCAAGTCTTATAAAAATATCATTTGGTTGTATAAAATGATAGATATAAAATGAATGGCTCTCTTATATTATTTTTAGGTCCCATGGATTATGGCTCTATATCGTGTATATTGGAATCAATTAGAATCGTTTAATTAAGATATATTTATGTTCATCATTTATCTCTAGTTTTGTGTCAACATCGTTTCCTTAATATAATTTTAAAAATATCCAAATAAAAAAAATCTATAATCATAAAGTTATACCAAAACATAATTGAAATAATATATAGGTTTGAAATCGTAATCCAAAAAGAAAATATCAAATTTAAAAGTGTGAAATCAAATAGTTAAATGTTTCTTCGAGATAATATGGTGCTAATCTCAACCTTCAACCGTTCATTGTTAACTTGTACCACCCGCTTTCTAGAGAAAAGAAAATTAAATGAAAACTTAGATTTAAATAACCAAAAAACCCCTAAAAATGGTAAGAATCAAAACAAATCAAGGTCACTTCGTTTAAAAAAGAATGGAAAAAATAGTTGAGCAGCAGAACTATATGGATGAAAATCTTCATCATCTAGTTTTCTCATTTGTAACTCATTTTCTTCGATACTATCAACACTTTGCAAGTCTTTATCTCAATTTGCTTTTCTTTATAAAATCTCTTCATTTACAAATATTTGCAAATAATAAGAACAATTTTCATTCAACTTGCTTTGGAGAGAATAAAAAGAATAATTTTACAATCTCTGCGGAAATCTCTATAACAAAATAAATATTTACAAATAATAAATATATAACTTTTTTATCTTCTTTTCATGAACTTAGAAAAAATATGATGGATATTTTGACTTTAAAATAGAAATCGATCGTTCTTGCCTGGGATCGTTCGACTTGACAATCTCAACCACATATCCCACCATCGAATTCTAATTCTCGGAGATTCTCCCGATTACTTTGGAATCGAATCCTTGTTTGCACACCCAGAAAGTCCCATCGCTATCTCTCGTCGTTCCATCTCCGCCACGGATGGTACGTCACTCATTTGTGAAGCATGTAACAACCTGATTTTTATTAATTAAAAAAAATTATTATTATTAATTAATTCTTAATAAATAATAATATTATTAAAAAACATAAATTATATATATATATATATATATATATATATATAGTTAGGTAGGATAGGTGAGAGCAGCCCACGTGAAACATATACTAACATATATATATATATATATGCATTAGTTGCGTTACCACTTATAAAAAAAATAAATAATAATTAAGTAATATTAAAATAAAAATAAAAAATGATTTTTTTCATCTATAAAAGGGAGACGTTGCGGAGGGGAGAGGCCAGAGTGAGTGAGTCCGCCAAGAGGAGAGAGAGTTCATAAATAAAAAAAACAGAAATTGAGAGAATAAAAAAAAATATATAGTAAATAGTAAATAATTAATAGTAAAAAAAAGAAGAAAAAAAATATATATATAGTAAAGTGAAAAGAAAATTTATCACGGAGGGAATTTTAATCAATCCGGAGAAAAACTACCGTCACGAAAAATAATCGGCATTATCCAGGTGAGTGAATTCGAGTTTAATTCGGAAGTCTATTGACATGGGGTTTTGGGTGTTGAGTGATTTCGTGCAAATTTGATGTTTGATTCGTGTTCTCCATGAAATTATATGAGTTTTGATGAATTACCCATAGTGAATCGTGCATGTTTGAGTGATTTTGGTGAGATCCGAGGACCAGAACGTCCGGTCTGAGATCAGACCGTCCGTTCTAGGTCTACAGGAGAAAACGCAAAGTCCAGAGGTTGAAGACGAAGTCCAGACCGTCCGTTCCAGACAGTCCGGAACGTCCGTTCCGCACTAGCCAGACCGTACGGGCTGGGTGAGACGGAACGTCCGTTCCGAACCGACTGGACTGATCGGTCGAGGACTAGACCGATCGGTCTGAAAAAAAGATTAACGTCTTAATTCGGTCTCTACAGAACAAGGAGAGCATCACCAAGCTTCTCATCCATCACCCAACGCGCGAATTTAACCCGAAGTGAGTGAATTCGAGTTTAATTCGGAAGTCTGTTGACATGGGGTTTTGGGTATTGGGTGATTTCGTGCAAAATTGATCTTTGATTTGTGTTCTACCTGCAATTTCATGAGTTTTAGTGTAGTACCCATAGTGAATCATGCATGTTTGAGTGATTTTGATGAACTCCGAGGACTAGAACGTCCGGTCTGAGGTCAGACCGTCCGTTCTAGGTCTGCAGGAGAAAACGCGAAGTCCAGAGGTTGAAGACGAAGTCTAGACCATCCGTTCTGGACAGCCCGGACCGTCCGTTCTGGACAGTCCGGAACGTCCGTTCCGCACTACCCAGACCGTCCGAAACCTTAAAATTTCACCACGTGGAAAAATTGAAAAACTTAACAAGACGGACCTAGTATTACCCCGGTTCAAATTGTGAAAAAGTGAAAAATATAAAATATACCGGAAATACGGGACAGACCGAACCCCACGTAGTCTGGACCCAAAATGAATAACAGGTAAGGTTAAAAACCATGGAATGAACCGAACTGGTTATCCGAGCGGACCGGGACCAGCTAAGTCATACCAGAGGTACAATTCGGTAATTTCAATGAAAAGACTGAAAGAAAATATATAATTAAATATAAAAGACTACACAAGCGTAAAAGCATGTATAGTAGATAAACTATATAAATGCGTGTGACTGGGATAGCTGGCATGACTAGCGTTAATTCGGAAGGGTTTGGATTAACGTTTAGCGCGTGATTGTAGAAACGGGCGTTTGTGAATGAATGCACGATGATTACGAGATTGCGTCTCATCTATGGGCCATCCGATCCGGGTCGGTTGCCACCCATATGGGATATGATTTTGAATGTGGCGATGATACGATCGCGCCAACGTCCAAACGGTCGGATGGTTATGGGCACCCCGATGACTTGCGTGGATAGTCGATTGCAGTCGGTACTATTGCGTGACGAGGAACACACGGTTCTTGGAACCGCGCCAACGTTTCCGCTAGCGACGGAGCGGACCCCGGGATATGAGTATCCCGAGAAAGAGGGCATCATATACCTGAGATTCGGGTAGATTGGGGTCTCCCGAGGAGGTGGTAGGGACTTACTCTGCCAGGTTCGGGCCCGAACCTGACAAGTATTTCCGCGGCGGATGGTCGGCGAGGGAGAGTTGCAGCGATGGGCTCTCTCGTTATAGTCGATGGCGTAAGTTGTAGCCGACGTCTGGTGAGCTCCGGTATTGAGAGGTGACATCAATGTCGGAGTAGGGTGACACGCCTAGCATCGAGAGGTGACATCGATGCTAGGGTGGGGTGATGTGTTCGAGCGGAGAAAAATATATTTATACCGGATCCAAGTGGTTGCGGAGTAGATGGATTCCGAGGAGAGAGGCGGTTGTGCTACGCACATGGGGAGTACACTACCTACGCATGGCGCGCGTAGAGACGATTTGACGGACTCTGTCCTGCGACTTGTCGTACGGACTTGATTGTGATTGCTGTATGTTTATCGTGATTCTATGTTTGTGATTCCTGTTTATTAGAATATTAATATATATATATATATATATATATATATATATGTGTGTGTATATGCTTTCCCTGACACCATGAGAATAGAACTCCGGGTTACGCCCGAGTTCACTCTCTAAACAATTAGCTTTGGACGTTGTTACGCAACGTTTCGGGTCGTGAGCAGCCGTAGCCGAGGAGCGGACATCGGAGATCTGGGCAGCTTATCGTTTGATCATGTATAATTATTTTCTATGGTACATTTACGCTTTTGGGAAACAGTTTTGTGTTATATCGGTGGTAGACTTTTATGGTTTGTAATAATGTGATACTACCACTGTGTATGTATAATTATAACTGGAATAATGTACCGTATATGTATGTAAGAAAGTTTCTTCCGCTGAACTCTAAAAATAAAAGTTTAAATTCCCGCGGATTTTTTTTGGAAATGCGATTTTTATTTTACTTGTCCATGTGGTTTTCACTGGAATTTGGGAATGGGTAAAAATGATTTTTAAAGATTTTATAAAAATCCAAGCATGATCACCAGGTCTCGATACTAAATAAAAGTTTCTTGTCCGCAGTAGCTATGCCTCCACGACGTGCTGCACCTGCGCAACGACCTAAAGGACCGAGGGCACCTCCGCCGAATAACGACATGACGGAAATGCAACGCCAATTCGCATTGTTCCAAGGGAACGTCTGGCAGTTCATACGAGGTTGCATGTAACCGCCACCGCCACCACCACCGCCTGCTGCTCCACCTGCGGCAAGGCCGGAAGGAGGTTTGCCACCACCACCATTGATGCCTGCACCTCCGAGGATTCCGGAGCAAGTTGTAGTGGACTACTTGCCATTCGTCAAGGAACTCCGAGCCTTGGGCACTCCGGAGTTTGAGGGTTCTCTTAGCCCGGAGGCAGCAGAAGACTAGATGATCAAGCTCACCCACCACTTCAACTACATCAGGTGCCCGCTGGGGTACCGCACTGAGTTAGCGAGCCATCATCTGGTTGGCGCGGCTCGCCATTGGTGGGAGGAAGTTGTACATGAGGCTCCCGCAGGACACTAATTCTCGTGGGAAGAGTTCCGGGCGGAGTTCGAGCAGAAATACTATCGGAGGCAAGACTAGGGTCACCGTATTACGGAATTTCTTCGTCTTGAACAGGGTAACATGACTGTTCGAGAGTACGAAGCGGAATTCAACCGGCTGCTGAAGTATGGAGGCCACCTAGTGCCAACCGAGGAGTACAAGATCCAGAAATTCATTGCTGGGTTACGTGCTTCTCTCAGGAGAATGATCGAGTGCCATGAGTACCCTACGTTGAGTCGGTACATCAACCAACTCGACAAGGTGGAACGCAGTGAGAAGGAGAACATGGAAGCCAAGAAACAAGACCGTGATCCGTACAGGAGAGTGCCAGTCAACCGTCCCCCGATGAGAGTTGGGCAGACGAGTCAACCCCGCGACAAGGGGAAGGCTTCGGCGTTTCGCCCCACGACCCCGGTCCAACCACTACAGTATAGGAGGCCCTGTGCTAAATGTGGTCGAGACCATACTGGAGCTTGTGGAAACACCATGACGTGCTACCGCTGCGGTCAACCAGGGCATTTTGCTGCAAGATGCACTGCGAACATAGCTCCTCAAACCAACAACAAGCCACCGCGTCCAGCACAGGGGAGATCGGGTATTGCTCCGAGAGTTTATGCCCTCACAGCTGAGGAGGATGTTCAGGAGGAGCCATACACAGTGGAGGAGCCATTTGCTGCAGAGCCATTGACCACCTACGAAGCCACTGATGAAGATTACCAGGAGGAGGATGATGTTGCCACCATCACAGGTACCATTTGCATACATGATGTTGCATGCGCCACTTTGTTTGACACAGGAGCTACACATAGCTTCTTGAGTGAGAAAAAGGCAGGAGAGTTGTCAATCATGGAGATCGATACAACTACATCTTTTATGGTGTGTACACCTGCAGGACAGACTCTTCCAGTACAGGGGATTTTGCATTGCATGCCCTTGACTATCCGTGGGAGGATGTTGACTGCAGATCTTATCATCGTACCTATCCGGGGTTACGACTTAATACTGGGAATTGATTGGCTATCGAAACATCAAGCCCAGATCGACTGTTGTCAGCGTACTATTTGGTTCACTGAGGAGAGCGGAGGATTCGAGTTCGTTGGGAACAGATCACGGAAGGTGTATCCCATTATATCAGCTCTGAAGCCTTCCTGGTTGTAATCACAACAACCGAAGAAGCAGAAGCAAAACTGGAAGATACTGCTGTGGTTCGGGAATTTTCCGATGTGTTTCCTGATGAACTACCTGGACTACCACCAGAACGGGAGGTAGACTTCTCCATTGAGGTTGTGCCAGGAACGGAGCCAATATCTAAGACTCCCTATCGGATGGCTCCGACCGAGATGGCAGAACTGAAGAAACAGTTGAACGATAATCCTCCCTATCGGATGGCTCCGACCGAGATGGCAGAACTGAAGAAACAGTTGAACGAACTAATGGAGACAGGGTTTATCCGACCTAGCGTATCACCATGGGGAGCACCGGTGTTATTTGTGAAGAAGAAAGATGGTAGTATGCGACTCTGCATTGACTACTGAGGCCTGAACAAGTGACCATCAAGAATTGGTATCCCTTGCCGAGAATTGATGAGTTGCTTGACCAGTTGCAAGGGACAAAGTGGTTTTCCAAGATCGATTTGCATTCTGGGTATTACCAGATCCGAGTAAAGGCGGGAGATATTCAGAAGACTGCCTTTCGAACGCGACACGGTCATTTCGAGTTTGTAGTCATGCCATTTGGGTTGACCAATGCCCCAGCCGTCTTCACGCAGTTGATGCACCGCGTGTTCATGGATTATCTCGATGAGTTCGTCATAATCTTTATTGACGATCTCTTGATATATTCACCGGACCAGCAGACACATGAAGAACACTAGCGGAAGATCTTATGGCGATTGAGAGATAATCAACTATACGCTAAATTCAGCAAGTGTGGGTTTTGGTTGCAAGAAATCGGATTCCTTGGCCACGTCGTCTCGGCGCAAGGCATCCAAGTTGATCCGGCCAAGATCGAGGCAGTAATGGATTGGAAGACACCGACCAATGCGACTGAAATTCGAAGTTTCTTGGGTTTAGCAGGCTATTATCGTCGTTTCGTTGAGGGATTTGCTAAATTGGCAAAGCCAATGACGAAGTTGACGGGAAAGAATGTACGCTTCGAATGGACGGAGGATTGTGAGAGGAGTTTTATGGAGCTCAAGAAGAGATTGACAACTGCACCAATTTTGGCGTTACCGCGTCCAGGTGTTCCGTATGACGTGTATACGGATGTGTCGAGGCAAGGATTGGGTTGTGTTTTAATGCAAGAAGGACATGTAATAGCGTATGCATCTAGACAGTTGAAAAGACACGAGGAGAACTATCCGACTCATGATCTGGAGCTAGCCGCAATAATCCACGCTTTGAAAATTTGGAGATCTTATCTTTACGGTGAGAAGGTTAAACTCAACACCGATCATAAGAGTTTAACCCATGTCATCTCGCAAAAAGATTTGAACCTTCGACAAAGACGATGGCTAGAACTGATGGCTGATTATGACTTGGAAATTGCTTACCATCCGGGTAAAGCAAATGTCGTCGCTGATGCGTTAAGCCGGAAGAAGATATTGTCTGCCATCAAAGTATTGTCCTCATCACAGGAGAATATAGTAGAGTTGTCGGCTATATTGGGTCATTTGACGATTGCCGAGGATGAGGAGTTCCCAGATCTGAGAATACGTGTAATTTCGGAGCAGCGCAATGACCCAGAACTCATGAAGAACATACAGGAGATTGAACGATATCGTTAGAAAGGATATCAGTTGGATGATGTACAAGCATTGAGACTGCATAACCGGCTTTGTGTACCGGATAACGGCGAGCTAAGACGGAAAATCTTGCAAGAAGCTCATCAATCCAGACTGGCGATTCATCCGGGAGCTAGCAAGATGTATCGAGGCTTGCGACAATGGTATACATGGCCCGACATCAAGAAAGACGTTGCAGATTTTGTTGCGCGATGTTTGACGTGTCAGCAAGTGAAGGCTGAACGACAAATGCCTGGAGGAAAGTTGCAACCATTAGAGATTCCGGAGTGGAAGTGGGACTCTATAGCAATGGATTTCGTGGTTGGATTGCCAACAACTCCGACGAAGAAGAATGCTATTTGGGTGGTTGTGGACCGATTAACCAAATCGGCACATTTTATACCAATCCGACAAGAGTACACAGTTGAGAGGTTGGCACAGATCTATGTGGATGAGATCGTCCGATTACATGGAGTGCCGAGTGAGATTATCTCTGACAGAGATCCTCGCTTTACTTCGAGACTGTGGAATGCTATATAGGATGCATTGGGAACGAAGTTGAAGATGAGTACGACATATCACCCACAGACAGATGGACAGTCGGAACGAACTATTCAAACGCTCGAGGATATGTTGAGAGCGTGTATTCTAGACTGGGGAACTCCGTGGGATCGACACCTAATGTTGTGCGAATTTGCGTACAACAACAGTTTTCATGCTAGTATCGATATGCCACCTTACGAGGCTCTGTATGGGCGATCTTGTAAGACACCACTATGTTGGACGGAAATCAGAGAATGACGAAACTTTGGGCCTGAAATTGTAGAGGAAACGACTGAGGTTATCCGAAATATCAAGGTTAACCTGAAAGTCGCCCAAGACCGTCAGAAGTCCTACGCAGATAAACGCAGACGGGATTTCCAACTGGAAGTAGGCGATCAAGTATTCCTTCGAGTACAGGCGATTAAAGGGCACACAAGGTTCGGTAAAACGGGGAAGCTCAAGCCTCGTTATTAGCGCGCACGCACCGAGTCTTATATTTAATACCCGATTCGTACCACTATCCGCAAGTATACGGTAGTTGTAGTACCGGGGTCGAACACGAGGACTAGGATGTATTAGTCTATCTCTAAGCTAGATTAGGTGGTCAAGTAAAAATGTGGTTTATGGTAAGGGTCGGAATACAAGAAAGCAAGTAAAATTAACGGTTTGTAAAACGATGGTTTGAGGCGTTGTAGGTTCGGGATCCCTCAAGAATCGCATGGATGGTTAATGATGCTACAATGTCTATGGGTTATCCTCCATATGGGGGTTTCAAGCACTTCTTCTAGAGTTTGTCTCTCCCAAGCTTAAACTCACTACCTAGAGGATCGATTCACCCATCTCCCAATGATCTAAATGATCTCTAGATGCATTAGTGTACCCTATCATGAACCCTAAGCAAGTTAAGCCATCTCCCAATGTGAATAACTCACTCATTTGACATTTGATTCCAAACATCATTCCCATATCCCTATGATCAATGTGTTCTACAATCATATCAATTAGGGTTTCAACCAAATCAATAGCATTAAGCACAAAACATCAAACCCATGGAAGAAACTCAAAGACATCATAGATTAAGCATAGGTATCCATACAAAAGTGGGGATCCCTCACCCACAACAAAATCACTACTCCATAACTAGGGTTTCAAAACAGAAAGCAAAATGAAGAAACATGGAAAAGGAGAAGAAATGCTCAAGATGGTCTTCAATGGTGGTCCTCCTCTTCTCCTAGCCTCCTTGATCTCCAAAATCCCCCTTTTCTTCCTCTCCAAGGTGATTTTTCTCCAAAGTCTGTAGCC